CTGAYTGCACCACATTTTTCTTTGCATTTCTCTATGATACTAGTGAAGAAATAACCAACAAATTATTCCAAAGGCATTTATTTCTTCCTTGTACATGAATTAAAAATAAAATCTTACAAAAATATGGAACCACATACTGAAATAGATCATCTTAATTCATACATCAATCATTTTTTAATGCAAGCTAGAAAAATAGAGATTTCATTTTGGACCCATAAAATATTCTTGCAGCATTCCTAAAAACAATGTTAAAATATGTTGTCTTAAAAAGGTAAAGTGCACATTTCTTAACCAGACTAACAAAAACAATTCAGTGCAAATTACTAAAATAGGCATTCAATTACATTTCCTTTAAAATATATGATTTCTAAATAGTTAACAGTTCAGATTGTTCATATGTTCTGTTCTGTTTGTATTCAGAAACACTTGAACAGAATTAGTTGAAAAGAAAGTTAAACAAGCTATTGTACTTAAAAGCTATCTCTGTCTTAGAATTTAGTTTTCAGCAAGGTCATAATAAACTCTTCTTCGAGCTCTTCTTTACCTGAAGTTAGGCAAAATTTGTCAGATGTAAAATAATTGTTTACYTTTTACCTAGAACACTTCTTTACTGAACATTTTGGTCATTTGCTGTAGGTGTCTGTGATCTGGGGTCACAGCTGGAATCTACAGAAGTAAACATTCATTCTGTTCAAAATCCTGTCAATTATTAATTTTAAAAAGTTTTCTAGCAGAGTTAGATATTAATGGTAGTCTGATAAACAGGTATTTAAGTTAAGAACATCAAACTGCACCTGACAAAAATCACTTCAGGATCTCATTAGCATCCACTTTCTACATGTTTTATGGAGACTCAGGCTGACATTTTGGTTGAAGCTCACTCCACAGAAAGCGTCACTTACATTAATTTTTTTAAAAAAAGGATAATTAGCGCTTTTTTTTTTAACCTGAAAGATGACACAGGTTTTGGTTTAGTTCTTAACAAAAATGTACGTGTTATTTTATATGCTTGTAAGCTTTCAATCCCTCAGAATAAAAGAAGTAAAATAAAAAATACAGCTTCTTCATCTGCCCTTGTGAACACACAACCTACTCGAAGCTTTAGCACTTAAGAGTCACACTGGCCACACAACCCAAGTTAGGTGACTTCTGTATAACAGGTCAGYGCTGGACAAAATCGTGTAAATCAAACTGTGCATGTTCCAAAAGGAGTTAACTTTGTTTCATTTTTCATTTTGGTTGATTTTATGTCTGAACTTTGGACTTCTAGTCCAAAAAGGCCACTTTTCTGAATTTGGACAGGTTTTGAAAAATAAAGAAGAAAATTGTGTACAACATATTTCACTATACAGCTTCTAAAACTTGTAATTATGGTCACTAAAAGCATATATTCTATTAAAAAAAAAAAAAGTAAAAAAAATCATAGAAAATCAAGTATTTAAGACTTGCTCAAGGATGCAGTTGGTCTGACCTTGCAAAATACTTAGGCAGGTGCTTAATTTTAAGCATATGAGTCATTGTGCCAAGAGAGATTTTATGGTGAGCACTAATGCACAAATATTAGGCTGGCTCTTCCACTTCAAGATAAGCATGGATGTAAGTGCTTTGCTGGATATGGATCAGGATGTTCAGCACCTAACAGGGCTTCAGGCGCYGATCCAGCAAAGCACTTACCCACACGAACAACACAGCTGCCTTCAGGATCACTGCTCATGTGCTTAACATTAGGCATGCTCATAAGTGCTTTCCTGGAAGGGCCCGATAGACCAATCGTGTGTGAGCTATAAAATTTGAAGCAGTGTATGTTTAACACACCGCGTATTTAACAATGTTAATCTGCTGAGATTTGCTTTTTCTTGGAATAGGGCATGTCCAACATCAAGCATTTATTTTTCAGAAAGTGCGTAAAAAAAAGCCTTTAAAAGCAGCTTTTTGATTATGGCAAGTTAAAATAATATTAGTGAGTCTCCTCATGCTCCTTTCATTTCTTCTTTGCACGTCTTTTCTCAGGCATCTACAATGGAAAGAGCAAAACCCCAATCAAAAACATCATTCAAATAACCATCCACGTATTTAATTGTCCTCTAATAAAYATCATGTCAGATGCAACTGAACACCTGAAAACAAGCACACTGAACTCTGCGAGATAACAGATCTGAATGCAAATTCTGCCAACTGTGCCACCTTTTCCACCGAAAATATTCGAATCACCAATTATCACTCCTACAAATAGAACTAACTTTATTACTTAAGACTGAAAATTATGTGCCAGTTCAATCCATACATATCCCTAAGTTGGTGACTGTATTTCCACATTTTCCATGCGTACTGATGTCAATCCATTTGCTATGCAAAGCCTAAAAAATGTGAAAATGTAAGAGCTGTTTAATCCAAATAAACAACTATAAAAGCATCACAACTCATCAGATATTTATATGAACGTGTAGAGATGTCATGCAAACCCAGAAAAAGGAATAAAGTAAGATCACATTTCTATAATAATGCTGGCATATTGTTCCATGCTATGCTAACCAAGGAAGAAATAGCAAAGCAGCACTTCATAATGACCTACTGCTACTGCTGGCCAGATAGAGCAACTATATTTAAATCCTTATTTAAATAGGATTGGTAGGAAATATTGTTTTATGCACTTAGCACCATATGCACTTCATAACTTACTGCTATATGTTGAGGAAGTTTCAAAGTCACTAAATGTATTTCATGCTTTCCTAAGGGTAARGAGTTTTTGTTCTCACGTGAAAGCTCCAATGGCTTTTGGAAATGGCTTATTTTTTTTTTGTCATGCACAAATTCCTGCTCAACCAAAAGCACAGTCACTAATTACTGTTGTGGTAAGTTACAGCATAGCTGACAGCTGAAGTCTAGATGTGGCACTAGAGCACAATGCATCCCTGCACAGAGGAAGAACTCTAGACTTGGTTCTTGAGCACAGAAGCAGATGTGAAACTCATGTACAGAACAAGGAAAAATAAAAACTGGTGCCCCAGACCAGATGTCAACACAAGGACCTCTCATCTCTATCAGACTTGTCCTCTGTCCCAAATTCTGACCAGAGAAACTGGGACTTTTTTGTAGGTTCCTCAACAGTTCAGTCAATGAAAAGGCACTTTTGCAAAATTTGTATCACAAAACTTTTGAACTGTTAAATCTCAAACCCCTAAACCAGCATATTTAAACATCCAGAAGAGCTTCTACCATGTATCTGTTTTGCCTCAGAGTTCCTGTTTCTAACAGAATTCTCTCCCATTCTTGGTTTTTCAATCCACACCCATCCCATGCTTGTCTGCTTTCTCAGCATCTTCTAGTGCTCAGAACTAGTTTTCCATTAATATATACACAACTCCTTTATTCTATCAGAACACTCTCTAATGTGTTGCTTACCACATAAACCTTTTCCATTAACATGACAGAACATGCCTGTTCTTTTTCCTTTTTTCCCCATAGCATTATCCTGCATTTTTGAGTGGTGTTTTTCAAAAGTTGCCATAATTTCTGCATCCCTTCATTCATGAATTTGGGAGGTTGAATGTTTTCCAAAATTCACCCCTTCCAGATCATAACCAGAATTGCTCATTCTGGGCTCAACGAACACTAATTATTATCAGAGATAATAATTCTATAGATTTCCAAATATTTTCCTCCGTCTGGGATTCCAACTACACTGATCCTCTGCATTTACAAACTACATCAAAAACTTTGTAAAAACCACCAGTCTGAAAGGTATACAAAACCCAACAACTACAAAACTGCACAGAACACACAGCAAGGCTTCTCTTTCATTTCTGTTTGGGAGAGAGTGCCACAGAGGTTTTCAACCTAACAGACAYCGGTGCAATCCAAGGGCTGTAAATGGCAGCAAGTAAGTCTGAAGTGGAAAAGTGGCATAGTTACTCAAAAAGGGGCAATTCCTAATTTGTCTGAAATTCCCATTATCAAGGGATACAAGCAGATTCTCTACTGAGCTGAAGTAGCAAAAATGACATATTTTTAAGAGTGTCTTTGAAAAACACACATTGTAGCTGATCCACAGTAATGACTCAATACAACAACTGGTGTACACAGGGTGACCATGAGAATTGTGCAGAACTGGCTAGATCTGTAAAAACTACCCTTGTGACTCCATCTCATTTTCAGCTCTCTGAATCAGGGAAGCTGCAACATCAGCTATCCCTATAAATATACAGGAGTGCTCTGTAATGATGAAAGAACACAGAAAAGAATGGGTAGTGCATTTTAAGTAACAGTCCTAGCTCATGCAAAACTTCACAAAACTAAACCTTATCTAAGACACTCTTTCAAATCCAGCTCCAAACAGGCTTCTTAAAAAAACCCACTCATTCTTGCCTTCAGATCAATGTTTCCCTGATTATTTTCATAAGACCTCTTGATCTTGGAAGTAAACTATATTGCTATGTGCTACGAGATTTATCACTAAAGCCAAAGAGATGCGATAGGTCTTTAAGGATTAAAATTTATACACAGGAAAATACCAAAACCACTTAAAGAATGTGCTGGAAGTCAACCTAACTCTTGAAACATACAGCAAATACAGCAAGCACAAGTTTGTTACACAAAGCAGTTTATTTCATTACATGTACATTGACATTCAATGACATTTGTTTCCAGAACATTGAAAACAACCCGAATCCCAAAACAGAAAGTATCTGGGTTTCAATAAAATGTCACCCATTGACAACACTTACATCAGCTCTTCTACTTGGGTCAAAATAAAAACACAATGATGCCATCCTACTTTCATGCAACCCTAGGTAAAAAAAAATTTCAGAAACTCTTAAAAAATAATGCTCCTTATGAAATAAAAGAAAAAAAAAAAATCATCAAAGAAGGGCACGTTTTCAGCCCAGAATGAAGAGCAATGGAGAAGACTCTGCAGTGGTCTTGACTGAGCTTGCTCTAGACGGAGCAGTAGCACAGTATGGTACCCTGCTAAACCCTGTTTCTGTTTCACAGCACCCACGTTAATACAGCTGGGCAATCTTCCCAATCCAGGCTGGAATATCTGATATTATGGTAATCCCTTGTCCCACTGAGGCCAACAGCTCTGTGTCCTGCCAGCTCACAGACTTCTCCATCACACTCCACCACGTACCCAGATATGTACCCAGCCCTGCATAGACTAAACTAACAAAAAAAAACTCCAGGAGACATGTTTAGCTTAACATAAAAATAAACAATGAATAAATTTTTTTCAAGAACAAGTCTTTATTTTGATGCTTTAGGTTTGGAGCTGAAGAAAGCAGAAATGGACTTCATTCCACTCTTATCAACTTTGGCCAGAGCCTTCTGTGCTGCAGACATCTTGGTGTTTGCCTATGAGTGAAATGATAAAACAGCAACAGTTAAACAGCATCTCCATAGGAGGGAACATATGCTCCAAACTCCTAAATACTGAAGTCAAGCAATAAGTTGAATTGTTTTTTAGTATACAGCAGCAAAGATAATGATATGCAGGCTTTGAATTGTAGGAGAAAAACCTTAAAAAACAAATTTGAGATTATTCAAACTGAAGAATACTTGTCATGAATTACTTAACCTCAGACAAAGACAGAAAACCAACTACAAGGACAAGGAGGTGAAACATCTTTCCAGAATGAGGTATCCCAAATCAAACATTTACTTTGGGATAATCCCTGAGTGTACATTAAGAGGAATAATGCATTCAATATGACAGATGCATTCCGTACCCTCCGACTCAATCTCATGATTATGCTGTCAGCAGGCTGAATTACAGACTTCCATTACAGATAATGAATAATTCACACTGATTTACTATCAAAGACTCTATGCACAGTGAAGTAAAGGGAAAAGAGATGGAAGAACTAGGAATGAAGATGGTAACATTTGCAAAGCACTTTTGAGGCCACTGGGACAACTTCCCAGACTTCTACACCTAAAACACATTTTTATGAGTCGCATTTTATAGAGCTGACCTCTTTCTTATATTTCAAAGTGTCTCTAGCTGCTTTCCCTGTTAAGAAAACTTTGCATTGACTTTTCTTTATGATGCTCCTCAGTTTGCAGAACTTTGGAATTATAATACTTGGGATCAGCTAGATGGTTATGGATAAGACAGAGATAGGCAAAACAAGTATGATTGTTTTACTCTACAAATAAAACCACGGCCAAAGTATTTAAAAGAGTACAAGAGTCCAAGGGCTATCTTTTCTTTCCCAGATTCTCTCATCAATGTGCTTCATTATTTCAGAAGTAAATCATACTTAATGTTGAAATGAATAATCTCTCCTCAGTTTATTTCTATCTTTATGCTAAGTTCAAAAGCCATAGATAGATATATAATTGGGGAAAGGAGAGAAACATGCATATTTTAAACCATTTATCACCCTCAATTAGGGGGCAATCCTCTTACTTCAAAACAAGAATATGCACTGAGTACAAAAAAATTCTGGGGGTCTGGGGGGGAGGAAGGAATGCATCTGTCACCAGCTGTGTTTTTTTTTGCAAAGGGATAACGAGTAGTCAGCATTAGACCGAAGGTCACAAGACCAGCACAGCAGGCCTTTTCGGTTCCCCATGGATTGCAGGAAGATTCATTTTCTTTCAGTGTTCAGAGAAATAAGCCAGTACAAGCCTCACAACTTTGGCACACACAAAGAGGATCTATTTCTTTTCACATCTCTGTTGCTCTCCCAGGAATAGTACAGTGGCAGGCACCACTGGACTCAGATTTGGACTGGCCTCCAAACATGTGTTGTAGCTGGCAATCAGTTAAGTTCTGTGTTGATTTAACTTCATTAAGTTGACATAAGTAAGTGCACAAGCAATATTTCTAGGTTAAAATAAAGCCTGCCTGAACATCCCTTGGAATTTGAGTTAAAGCTGCCATCTTCATTTCTTTTTCAAGTAACTGAAATTYAACAGTTGCTATCACTAAGTCACAGGATTTCTCATCTAAAGATCTCAAAGAGCTTTGCAAACATTAGCTGAGCACCTTAACATGTGTGTCTGACTCTGCAAGGCTCACTGGAATGTTCACTGATCAAATACAGCCCAGCAGTAACAGTACAGAACAGTTAGAGTAGGAAATTAAAACTATCAAAGTCATATTAAACCTGAAAGAAAAGTTCAAGGCAATACAACTACAGATATTAGATAATTTTGTATGTGTTTTTGTGATGTGTTTTGAAGGAGAAAGTTAAGCACTCTATGCTAACACTGAATATTAATCTACGTTWTAGCAAAATGGATATGAATGCAAAGCTTGCTTACCTTTTTGGTTTTCAGATTGTCACTGTTAAATTTAGTATAGTCTTCTTCTGGCTCCACAGGGACATCTGACAATTTCCTTTTCTGAAATGTTAGAGTGAGGAAGTTGCTCTGTCAACCAGTTTTATGATGTATACACATGGAAGTTCAAAGCTTTGGCTTTAAAGTGTAACCATAGCACCGAAACAGGACTGGCAATCAACTGAAGGATCTGCAGCAAGAGTGGAAGATTTCTCTCTGCAATCATCTTCTTTGCATGTGAGTATATACCACCTTTACAGCATTCAGAAGAGATCATTCAGTGTCATGGGAAGGAAGCACTTTTTTCCAAGCCTTCTGAAGAATGATTGTTAGAAACCAGCCATGACTGTGACTTTGGTGTCAGTCTGTTTAGAGAACTTTATGGAGCAGCTGTTGGAAGTTAGTGCCTAACAGTCAAGGAACTCTGGTGCTCATGACACAATGGACCTGCGCAGCAACACCAGTGTTGTGGCTATCTGCCAACACAAGTGGATCATCATCTAGTCTGTTGTCTATTTGTTCACAGCCTTTAGAATTAATTAGTTTCTACAGGTTGGCAACAGTGAAACACTGCCACAGCTCCACTGACTGCTTCATTGCTTCAATCCAACAGTGTATTAAGAAGTTTGACTCTGCATGTGCTGTATGCCTTCTTACTTCAGAAATATTGCAAATGAATGGTTCTCGGCACTTCACATGAACAGGCCGTAAAAATGAATACTTCTTTCCATAAACTGTGAGCATGTGTTTAGTTTAAAGGTGAAAACTTTCTGGTATGTTTCCAAAAGGGAAAAAAAAAAGTATGTAGTATTTTACAACACTGTATTATTATTATTATTATATATCTGATATTACTACCCTGTCCTTAATATCCTGTGAAATCTAGAYCGTGGCCTTCCCAGCTTTTGTGCCAAAGAGAGTGATTTTGCAAGCAACTTGGATGGTACTGTACATTTTAAGATCCTATTTTATTCATTTTGTTTATGGTGCTTGTGATATCTCTCTCTCTCCCCCTCCCTCTCTCCCTTTGGCACAGAAGCCAGGTCTGCAGCTTATATTTCTCAGCTCTTAGAACCAGATCCAACWGCAGCCTTTTCTTTTGATTTCAATGGAATGTGGATCAGCCTCTTTAGGAGGCTGTTTACTGTGCTGTGATTACATTTTCAAATGACAATCCAATGAATAATTACTTTTMTCCTCTTTTTGGAATCTGATAAACAAGTTTTTGAAACTTACAATAAAAATGTTTGCATTTCAGCAAAACATTTGCTGTTTAGTCTTAGCAAAGCCTATGTATTCTTTGTCTCTCATCATCTGCCAATGGCCAGACTCCCTGTGCTGACAAATCGGACAGTGCAATGACTACAACACGAGATCAACAGCTTACGATTAATACAAAGAACATGCAATTCTGATTCAAGCATTAAATTACAAAGCCCAGGCTGTACCCAGTTTGTTCTTGTTCAAGAGAGAGAATGGGTCGTTGCTTTCCTGCTGATCACTGAAGTTTCTACATCTCTCCTCCCTTTAAAGTTTAACGTAATTTCTAAACATGCAATTACTTTTCCAAAATAGAAAATACATGTTAGAACCTTTGTATTTTCCAATAATCATATATTATGTCTGTTAATACATCCTGCCTTCATGAAGAGAAATGTGAACATAAGTGATTAAAAATGGTCAGAAGGAGGATCAAAGTCTCTGTGTATAAGCCTACCTTACCCCTCTTGAGATTGTGAAATAAAGGAATGTTTTAATCTCTGAAGTTGCAAAGACTTAAACACACAAACATCATACACACCCTGGTCAGTGCTCTGGAAATTAATCAGATCCTCAGCAAGATCTCACTGCCCAACAATGGAACAGTTCTAAGCCTCATTTCCTCTGTAACCAAACTGCTGAAATAAAACTGTTTTTAAAAATAGATTCTCAGAACTATCCCAACGGTATAAAAGCTGTTCGTACACAATATGGAATGCACATCACATGCAGTTTAATACAGTTGTTTTAACATGCTTATACAGCTAATGACTATCAGTTGGCTCCTGATGTGTGCTTAATATTTCTTACAATGCATAAAGATAATTCTTAACTGAATCAAAGGGCCAAGTAACTGTGCAGCCAGAACAACTGTCCAGCCACATGGAAATAACATATCTATGGACATCCATTGGAGAACAAATGCTATTAATAACTGTAGGACTCAACTATTCCTCTATGTGCTAGCTGACATGCTGCTTAACAGAACAGTCACTGAACCAGCCAGAAATGAGGTTATTTTAGACTTTGTTTCGGTAAGTAGCAGGGACATTGCAGGAAAGGCCAGGGTGGTTAAGTAATCTCATTTCAGTAGACATAGGGTGCCTCAGTTCAAAATAAATTGAAAGGATAATGGAAAGCAGAGTTATTGGTTCTAGGGGGGCAAACTTTTCAAATCATATGCCTTACTTGTCTAAGGCAATGTATGGGACTTGATATGTGAGGAAGACACTTGAAACTTCAATCAAGGTGAAAAATCTTGGAAGAAAGAGCTTCTCAGACTAAACACTATAAATGCAGCTCCTTGCTCACACAGATGCACACATATTCCACCACCCCCCACCCATCCCCCAAAAAATCCAACAGATACTAGGGGTAAAAAGCATTCTGCAATGGATGGGGGAAAAAAGATGGTGGGAAAAAAACTGGTTTAGGAGTCAGGCAGTACTAGGATTAAGTGAGAACTGCCAAAAAGTCATGCTGAATTAGACTTTGGAAAGGAAATTAAAACAAACAAACACTACAAGGTTGTTTAGCCACAGAGGCAAAAAGAGAATTAAAAAAGAGAAAGTGAAGCTGCTATACTGTAAGGATTGGATAGATATTAAAGTYAATCTGTGTATGGACACAAAATGGAAGAAATCAGTTGCCTCAGTAAATAATTTTCAATAAATGTATCTTCTTTATTTTCAATAAAGATGAAGAGGTTAAGCACAGGGGAAGAAAAGAGAATAGAAATCACTCTAATCAAGATAGAAGTAAAACTCAATATGCTGACCCAGTTGGAAGACCACAACAGAAATCACAGGATGCGAGGCAGAACCTGACAAATGTTATATCAGGCAGGGACCATATCACTGCGGAGTAGCCAAAGGCCCATCTCTATGTAAGAGAAAGAAAGAAAAATAATAAAGGAGTAAATGAAACATAGAATCACAAAGTGGTTTGGGTTTGAAGGGACCTTAAAGATCATCTAGTTCCAACTCTCCTGCCATGGGCAGGGACATCTTCCATTAGACTAGGAGTCTCAAAGCCCCATCCAACCTGATCTGGGATGGGGAGTACATTTCCTGGGATTGGGAGTTCACATCTCTGGGCAACCTGTTCCAGTGCCTAACCCCTCACACCTAATTTAAACCTATCCTCTCTTCCAGCTTAAGGCCACTGCCCTTTGTCTTGTCACTACATGCTCTTGTAAAAAGTTTCTCAGCTGCTCTCTGGTAGCCCCCTTTAGGCACTGGAAGGTGGTGTAAGGTCTCCTTGGAGCCTTCTCTTCTCCAGGCTGAACAACCCCAACTCTCTCAGCCTAAGAACGAAATACAGGTAATGCCTACTAACTTGTCYTTGTTTTCTCACATATAACAGATTATCTGGCAACATAATGTSAAGGATTGCCAGAGGACTTGACATAGTGCCACTTAAGCTGCAGAAATGACAGAAAACAAATACTGCATAAGAAGTTTAAGGTRGGTGAGAAACTAGGAAAAAGGGAAACAAAGACAAATAATGCAGAAAGGGATGTCATTGGATCAGATGGAGAGTACTAGTTAATTGCTAATTAAAGATAACAGAATGCTAACATTTGCTGAATGTACACCACTGAGTAGCATTATGAATACTAAAAGAGCTTTTAACACCGTGAAAAAAAGCCAGGGAACATTCAAGACTGGAAATATTAAAACCAGATTAAAGGTACACAAGAAGTAAAAGGTCATGCACACAGCAACTAACTGCATGAATTTCTTGTAAATCTGAGAACTGATCAAGTAAAATCTGCAGTGGAAAAAACCCCAAAACAACTGTGTGTCTAAACTATTAACAGCATGACTGAGAGCTATCTGGTACAGCAGACATCAAAAGAGGCCAATGGGATTCTGATCTGTAATGGGACAAAGTATTTCTAGCTAAGACAAGAAGGGAAGAATGCCATCATATTGTATGAGTAAAGGTTTTATCAAAAATCATAACACATTTTTCTGGTCACCTGCTTTGAAACATTTGAATTCACCTGGGAATAGATGTAAAGAAATGTTTCTACAATGAAGGAATGGAGAACCCATCTTACACAACCAAGTTGGYTTCCCAAAATGAAAACACAAAGTATATATGTTTCCCCTTACACACTGAAAAACTAGTGTTAGGGGAGGGAAAAGAGCCGTTTCAATTTAAAAAAACAATGATAAAGTTAGCGCAAAAGGGCAGGGGAATAAACTGACTATGATTAAATTCAAGGTGGAATTTACAGATAGGTTTCTGAGAATCAGAGGAATGAGGTTATAGAACTCTCTTCCAAGAGAAGTAATGGAAAAMAAAAAAGTCCTAATGAGACTTACAGTGAAGAATGATCAGTGTATGAGAGATTATACAATACRGTTGTCAATTACACAATACGGAATCCATGACCCAGGAGGTCCCTTTCAGGGTCCTCATAAATTATATATGAAGGAAAACCTATGAGGTCATATTGTCCCATCAAGCTCCATAAAACTAAATAAGCAAAACACGTATAAAATGACTGCTGATCGAAACCATAAAATATGCCTCTTTTCCCCTCCCCTGTTTTAAACAGGAAAACCAACCAAAATATTCCTTATTAGAAAATATGAGTTACCTGGTAAATTTCTTGTGTTGTTTCAGACTGGCTTTTCACAAGGCCACTTTACTTATTGTACTGTATTTGCACCCAGTGTACTGTATTTGACCAGTGCTTGATCTGGTCTAGTTTCARTAATAATTCAGAGAAATTAACTTACAACACAATGTATCTATCAATATCTTAAAGTTCTCCTACCTTCAGTGGTGGCTCTGGTGCTGAGCTTCTGAGTTCTGGGAGCCTGCAGAACAAAAGATTTTAAATTATAAATTAAGACAGATGAATTGCACAAGCTAAAGTTTGTAATTCCTTCTTCACAAAGGCTGCTTTGGTTATCAGCTGCCCATATGTGGCAAGAACTTGGAAAAAAAAGCAGCTCATGGACTCTGTATTTCTGACTTATGAAACTGTTCAGCTGTGGGCTTCAAGCTACAAATTGCACACTTTCCAAAGGCCACAACAGAAGCCTTTGAACAGAAGTGAACTGATGAGTAGGTGCAGAGTCTCAGTGATGCTTGAAGCCAAGTCTGCTGCTGGCAGGGAACACCAGGATGAGGATGTTGGCTCACCTTCCAGATATAAACTAACACAGGTTAGATAAGTAAAGTCAAACCCCAACAGTACTGAGTGAGTAGTGAAAAGGAAAGAGGCCTGGGGATGAGGACTCTACTCCTGGCTCTGTTGTTTGTGCTTGACAAATCTGGACAACCTGCTTTAACTCTTTGGATTTTCTTCCCATTTGCTATAAAATAGGATATGTTACTCAGGGTTTCATCATGCAATGGTGATAACAGACATATCTGACTCAATATYACATCTCCCCCAGCACATGGTCTTACCACCACAGGAAAGCCAGAAAGACATAATCTACATTTGAAAAATCATGTTTTAAGTGTGGCAAATACAATCGCATTGTGTCATTCACTGCAACCTTGATGAACATATCTCAGTATTCAACAGAAATGACCAAACAGACATTAATGCATGTCATGTAAGGCTATCTGCTAGCTGATAAAATACTTACCCTAAGTATTTTAAAAACTCCTTACTCAGATCTTCAGGAATATATTCTGATATTAACCCATGGGCATACCGTACATAGTCTTCAGGAAGAGGTCAGGGAGTGGGAAGGAGAAGAAAAAGAACATACAAGTGATACAGTCACATTGCTTTAGCCATGTTACATGTGCTACCACAGCATAAAGTTGAATTAACGGTAAGAGACTTCTAATGGATACACTGTGATGCTTTTCTGTGTTGAGTAGTTTATGTTATATGACACTTGTAGGTTTATTTAAAAAGTAAATACTTACTACACTCACTTTGTCAGCACATGTTATTAATATCTGCTGCATGTACTTTACAAAAGCTGTTCACTTTCTGAGAATACTAGATATCATGTATTTTTCCCCAAGAAATTAAATTTTAAAAACCTGCAAAAGTAAAAAGCTGACTCAACAGAACAGGCAATCATTAATTTTAAAGCATCTGGATCTTACAATTATTTGGCAAGGGCTTCACTACTAAAGAACATTTTCTGGCTTCAACTGAAAACAATTAGATGAGACAATGAGTCTATTTCAAAGTCTTGTACTTAATTTTCAGTACTTTATAGAAAATGCCAAGGCCTATCTAAACATCACTGGCAAGACAGGATAATTATCTGTGGAAATATGAACTAYTAGAAGCTGTTTTCAGTACAGGGCACTCCAGCTATAATTTTTTTTTSAGAGACTGGGAATAAAAAAGTGACCCTTTTTATAACATGAAGTCCTAAACCAGATCTTTTCTGGTCACGTTCTACACAAGCACTTACTGATTGTAGGCTGGATTTTTTAGACTTGCCGTTGTTGAGGCCGCTAGCGAGCAACTGCACCCATGCACAGGAATCATTTGCTAGACAGACACTAAGTTAAAATTTCCCTACACATTTCGACAATTCAGAAGCACATGGTATAGCAGCCTTAAGGTGGGAAAGAACTATTTCTTTAGTGCTGGAGATAAATTTCCTATTTTTTTCCTCCTTTTGTCTTTTTTAACCCAAAAAGCTCAATGCAAACTGGCATTGAAGGAAAAGGCATTAACAAACTGACAATGCAGCACACACATTTCAACTATACTGATAATAAATCCTTAGTATCACCTATCTGCTCGTCTCCTTCCTGCACTGCTGGGATTCATCAAGGATTTGTCACTCTCTAAGCCCACTTCAGGTTCAGGAGAGAACAAGAAACAATTCCAACCCAAGACAATTTCACCTCAGCTCTTGATATCTCCAATTTATTGCTGAAGAAAAATATTCCCATAATCTCACTCTGCATTATGACACTGAACAGTGAGTCCAAGTCAACTACTATTATTTCTCACTAAATACAAAATCCCTTCCCTTTGCATTTCTGACTCAAAGCAGTCTTCACTGACTTCCTTTACCAATTTTAAAATACCACTATTTGCTTCCTAGGGAGTCTGTGTTCTCACCCTAGCCTACCTTTGTTTTTAACCTTTTGTCAAGCATGAGGAATATTTGCACACCTCCCTTCTTTGTCCTCTGAATGTAATATTCAAGTCTCACATGATACACCTCCCGTACTTCCCTATCTGCTCTCATATCCTCCCATATTTTTATCCTACAACATCTGTAAACGTTACCTACATACACCCACCTATTTTTAAGAGACTGAAATTTCATAATACCTCTATGAAAGCAATTCTCTACAGAAATAAATTGCACTGTCAAAGCAATGAAAGGATCAGACAAGAAAATGAGTCTTATTAGAAATTAGTGTTGAGTAATGTCCATTGACTTCCTGTCACTCACCTTGCCACATACAGTGGGACTACCTCCAAAACTCAACTACTTTAAACCCCAGTATTTCCTATTKCAATGGTTCTTTCTTAAATATGAAAACCCAAGGTTTTTAAAAAGACTGTTATAACCATGTCACTGTAAATAGATCAAGGTGGAAAAAAACCACTGCAGATGAAATATTTAATTACAATTTCAGAGAAAAAGTATTTAAGCATAGTCAAGATGGTTGTTGCCAGAACACGTCCCCCTTTCTTTAAAAAAATAGGGGTTGGGTGAAGAGCTACTGTAAAGTTAAAGTCACAAGTTTTGCAACTTTGTCTCTTTTTAAAAACCATATATTAAAATCTCTGTTCTATAAAACTATTTGCCTCTTAAATCTCATTTATGTTGTTTCTGTGATATCATTACTTGGTAGCTCATTTTCCACTTTGTCAGCAACCTGCTTTGTTTCTCCTTAATTTTTAACAGCATGAGGGCTTCTGAATGTCTTTGTAATAAGAAACAATTTGCTTTGGTTCATCTTGCTCTAAACCTCTCTTAATTGTCATTAACACTCAAAGATTTTATTCCAAGTCCATTTCCAGCTTTCTCTACAGAATTTCATATCGCAGTAACATTGAGTACATCGCCCTCACCAGCAAAATGGTGAAGCATAGAAGCAAACAGGATCACACTTTGCTAACAAAACTGTCAATTTCAGGGCAATTTAATACACAAATATTAATGAACTTTTGCCCTTAATATTTACACATTTATGTATTTTATACATTTGTCACATAAAGTAATGCTTGGACCATGAACTTGCTCTCTGTGACTGTGACTTCCTACAATCCCATTTTGAAGAATTATATTAATGCTAATATGCTCATATTACATGCACCCTAATACTAACAATAATAAAAAGAAGCATGTTTTAATACAGAGACACTTACTGGGTGGGCATATATTATAAGTAAATGTCCTATTGTCTAAGACAGGCTCAGTTCAGCAAAGCACTTCAGCATATATTTCACTGAGAAAAATGTTTTCTCCTTGAACTGTGGAGAAGATAAAACAACCCCAGCTGAGATCTACTGTTAATTACAATGTCATCTGATGAAGATACCAAGGAATCTGGAAAAGCTAGGGCACAGAGTCACAACTTACACAGAATTTTCCATACAAGGAATAAATTTACTGCAAAGGCCAATTTCAACATATTTTAGTTTCTAATCACGTGTTTTATCTCTACTTATGTGACTTCACAAAAATGGAATTCATGAACCTGTTTAGTTTTCTTACCTTCCTGAGTGTCTGTGATCTGTTTACTGTTGACAAATGTACTTGCACCTACAGATACATTGTTGCTTTTAAGTGCTTTCACTGTTTGATTAACCTACAGAAAACCAAAGAAGGAAATGTCTGTATCAGTATTGTTATGCACATGTTAATGCAGTGACAAAGCTCTTGTAATTTTGTTTCAAGCATATAAAACACTCAAGTTATGGACTGTGGTGAAATTTAATATACATTTGTAATGACTAGCATATGAGCTCAAAAAACCCAAAGAAACTAGCATGACTTTGAACATACTGCCTTGGCAACACAGCACCAATTTTGCAGCACCCTAAGATGAGCTGAGCTACTCCAATCCAACAGCCATGACTATGCAGGTGAGAAACACACCTGACCAGAGAATGCCTGAGCTCAGCAGGACCGCAAAGGCAGTTCTGGTAGAAATCAAAGGTTAAGGACTTTACAGAGCACTGCTGTGCTGGATCTGGGAGAGGGAATTGTCGGAAGAAGGTATTTTACATTACRCAAAGATACCTGTTCATGTGTAAATATCCAGATAACCATTGCAAAACAGATATTCCCATGCCTCATCACTGTAGAAAGCGGACCAGATTTTGTGCTTGTATTGATCAGTTTAAATGATAAGGCCTCATCATGTGATTCATACCATCTTTTTCTATAGAGTGGCATCACATAAAGGACACACGTGCATGAGTAAAATTAAATTCACCTTCTTTATACCAAAACAAAGACCCCATCATGCTTAGCTTTAACACTAGTTTACTCTGCCATATTGTACAGACCTCTTGAACAGCATGATTGGATCAGGATAATAGCACTCAAACCAGGACCATTCTGAGCGAATTTGGCCAAAACTTGAGGAAACACATTCGTAGCACAAAACCAGGGCAGTTCTGCCCACCTTCAAAGCACAGCAGAATATAAAGCTGTACCAACCAGAGTACATGGTTGTACTTTCCTCTAGCCCATCTGTGAAAGGGACAAAGCAGAAGGCAAGCCCCTTACCTTATACAAAGCCTACAGTAATAAGCTGACAGCTTCTTCTGCCTACCCATATCCCATGAGTCGTTTTCATAGCCAGTCCCATCAAAAAGAGAAATGCAACAAGCTTGTTAATATCTCTAACACCTGATCACATTTCCAAGTGCAGCAACTTTACTGGGATGTCTGTCCTTGGACAGGACATGTACCTTAAACTGAGGCACAGCATGTATCTCAAAACCAGATATGGACAAGCTAATAAGCATTTCCATTTTAAACATATAGCAGTTTTTAAAGCAAAAGAGAAACACAATACCTTTTTCTTTAACCACTTCAGTGTCTTCTCTTGGCTGTATTTGTGGAATTTCTGACTGCCAATCTCTGAGAAAAAACAAGCAARGGGAATAAAGTCATGTCTGGTTTGGACTGCATTTTCAATATATTTAAAATCTTTTAACTTGCAGATACAATATAGAAGTTAATTTGTGTCTTGCACATGTTTGATATCAGGGCAGTAAGTTTCAAAAGTACTGGAAACATAAAAAAATAAACAGACTGAGCTGATATGAACAAGTCTGAACAATCTGACAGTGCTTTAATTAGGACCTAATCCAGCAAAGCACGTATTTTATTTACTGATGTGTAATCTTGGGCTGCCTGAATTCACTAAGACTCTTCTCAAGCCCTKGTAGTTTCACTTCACCTTCACTGCCCTGTGTCACCAGACCAGAGATTTTAACTAAATAGCTACAACACAAAATGTTGGCTCCACATTTCTTTTTTATTCTTTTCTTTTAAACAACTAATATCTTAAATCTTTATGTACTTAATTCCAGCACCTAATAAAGTGTTATCACAGAGTTGATTACTGAAGCTAAACCATCCACCTCTTCAACAAACCCTTTCCTTATCATTCTCCTCTCGCATGCCACAGAGAGACTAAAGCAGAATTTTTACTTCTACCCACCTTTTACGTAATTCAATATAATGTCAAAAGAAAATACAGAGTTCAAAATAGTGARACACACTCTTTGTGGGAGGAAGTACGAATCACTCATGATTTACTGAGCAACCCATTAACTCGATGATATAAGAATTTCAGAAAGTGCTTCCCCTGTGATATCAAGGAGATCATGAACACTTGCTATTCCCATGTGATCAATTATCAGGAGACACGTGAGTTCAAAACACTCAGGCAAAAGAGAGAGAAAACTGCAAAGGCTCAGGGAAATTTCAGTATAAAAATTCAGTATTAACTCAAAGAAAGCTACATTTGGGAAATGGAATGAGATGCCTAATTGGATTTCATAGGAGATTTTGGAGCCTGCTGCTTCAGTCTTTTACTTTAACAGGTATTTCAGTAAGTTTTAATCTTCTGCATACCATTCCCATAAATACCTACATCTGTTTCATGTCATTTACTGAATACGGTGTCATATTCCAACACTCATTTCATGGATTTTGCTTCTCCTCTGGCAAACAACAACATATTATTTATGATTCCTTCAGCATTTCCTTCTTTGGGGTTTATCTTGGCTCTTTCAAATTGCACACAAATAGTGAACTATTATATGCTCTTTCTGTATGCATGGTAAGGGGTATGGAGAGGTCAAGGAAAGCTGTTTGCAAGATAAAAGTTTAAATCTGTCTCAACAGTTGTACAATAGCAAAATAAAAAAAATTCTTCAGAGCAAAGATGAAAAATACACTAATATACACTTTGCTTTACGATGAGTTGCAGGTAATTAGCTGTGACACTGTTGGCTGCAGCCTTTAGGACTTAGAAGTCTAAGCGGCTCTGAAAGAAGCAGAAAATGGAGAAATGCTCTTGGTAATTGAACCTGCTTCTCAAAGGGCTAATGCGGTTTGGGTTCAAACACAGTGAGTAAAATTCTCTTRTCTAAGAAAGTTCGAGGAAGGGACATCCTCTGGGCACCATCCCCTAACCCATGCTGAAAAGTAATTCTAGTCTGGATTCCCAGGCAGACTCCCCCACAACAGCGTGATTCAGAGTGACTCAGTCAGGGAAATGAAACGTAGAACTGTGAAGCCATTTTCATTAAAACATGTGAAAAATAATTACACTGAACCCTTCAGAGATCACTTTGTTTGAAAATATTTTGTGTGCTTGACAGTTTTGAGTATTAAACTCTAGAAACTGACAATATTTGAGACCTCTGAAGAATTAAAGTGAGTTATGAAAGTCACAAACTGCTGACAAAAGGATTCAATATTGGAACGTAGATTTAACATGTGATGCACATTTGATATTGGTGAGAGTTAGCAACTATGTTTGATAATATGAGTATATATTGGAAAGCTTTTTGTTCCCTAATGTGTCTGGTGCCTATAAAACTGGTCTGAGACATCTGGAAAGATTGGGTTTGAGAAATACAGATGGAATATAAGTAGTTCTACAATTAAATAATATGTTCAGTGATCGGGTAATCGCTATGTAGACTTGGAAGTTTCCCTGATGTATTGTTGAGCAAACTGCCTAAAGCACATTTTAACATCCATTTTCTCAGTGTTTTCCATAACTCTGAAACTCATATGGCCCCTTTTTTCCTACCTTCTGGGAATACAAGCTTGGCAATATTATTTAGTKATTCTAATCAGGTAAGTTTTCTTGGCTCTTCATGTTAATCACATCAGACAAGATCACAGTGCAGCTTTTGCCTTGCAAAATGAAACAAAGACTAACACTCTAGAACTGCAATTCATAACCCTTTCTTAAACCCTCTCTACTGTACTTTCTATCCAATGTCGGAATTTATTAGCAAACAACCTGCCTCACCCAGATTTAGTGAGCTGTAACACATCCTTTCCCCAACTACTAAAGCAGGTTGTTCAGAATTTAATTCAGCTAAATGAATTTTCAGTGCCCTTCAACAATGAGGCCAGGGAAGGTGGATTTTCTGCTAATTCAGTAAGTGTAAACTGTGAGTGCTCTGGGGTAAGAATTTGTTAGACAGATGTTAAATGTCTTAAGACTAAATGAAGAGTGAAATAATTATGTTGTTAAGTTCTGTCAAGCACAAAAGAGCTGCAGAAACCTCAACACAATGGGTATTTCTTGCCCTAATGCTCTAGCCCTTAAACGAGAAAGGCTACAAAGTGGACAAGAGGTCTTAAGAGCTAGAAAAGAGTGAATACTTTAAGTCATAATGCTGGTATTTTTCACAGGCAATAAAAGACATGAGAATATGAAACACATAGAAGTGGATTAAATGGAAAGGTGATGTGTGCATGACAGGCAAGCAAGTGCCAATGGGTTTGTAGCATAACAGTGCTCTTGGTGTTTAAAAAAAAAAAGAGAGAAATCCTAAGAACAATTCCCACTGTTACYGAGAGCTCAATCCAAACCTGAACAAGAAAAAAAGCAGCATGGCCATGCCTGAGAAAATCCAAAAACATCACATAAAGCTGATGTGTGCATCCGCATACAGCTTTTATGACAAAAGCAATTTTCAGCTTACATTTAAAAACAAAACCCAAGAAGTGAACACAACTTCTTCAACAGCTAATCATTTGTTGGCAAAATGATACAAATTTATAGATGTACATAATACATTAATGAAAATGCRAAGAAACCAAAACAGTAAAGCATTTTCACTACTGTCTAACAGAATCCAGTTTATGGGAGGATGCTATGACAGATAACAAATACAGTATCAGAATGGGTACAGAAGTTAGATCAAGACACAAGATCATGTCTATAGCAAATACTTCAAAGAAAGTTTTTATTTTGCCTTCAGTAAGAGAAAATAAATACTACCTAAAGGCTGTACTGTTGTTTGGAGGTAGTGCCCCTTAAAAAAAAAATCTAAACCTTCTCCTAAGGTTCCTATACAGACTTAGGTTTGAAAGCCAAAAGGATCTGGCATCATTTTTCATCTTCTCAGATGGGTGACCAACCTGACCTCCTTTATGACTATGTGATCCACTTAGTGGATGTGCGAAAGGCTGTGGATGTTGTCCATCTAGGGAAAGCATTTGACACTGTTTCCCACAGCACTGTCCTGAAGAAGCTGGCAGCTCATTGCTTGGACAGGCGCCCTCCTCACTGGGTAAAAACCAGTCTGGATGGCCAGGCCCAGAGAGTGGTGGTGAATGGAGTTACATCCAGCTGGCAGCTGGTCACTACTGGTGTCCCCCAGGGCAAATATTTTATCTAATAACTTTATCAATGATCTGTATGAGGGGATTGAGTGCACCCTCAGTCAGTTCAGATGACACTAAGCTGGGGAAGAGTGTCAATCTGCTGCAGGGTAGGAAGGCTCTTGCAGAGAGATCTGGACAGGATGGATCGATGGGCTGAGACCAACAACATGAGGTTCAACAAGGCCAGGTCCCAGGTCCTGCACTTTGGCCAAAACAACCCCCTGCAGTGTTACTGGCTGGGGGCAGAGCGGCTGGAAAGATGCTCAGCAGAAAAGGACCTGGGGATGCTGGCTGACAGCAGCTGAACATGAGCCAGAGTGTGCCCAGGTGGCCAATGGCATCCTGGCCTGTATCAGCAATAGTGTGGCCAGCAGGACCAGGGCAGTGACTGTCCCTCTATACTCAGCACTGGTGAGGCCACACCTCAAATCCTGTGTCCAKTTCTGGGCCCTACACTACAAGAAGACATTGAGATGCTGGAGCAAGGCAATTGCACTGAAGTATGAGCCAGTCTCTTCTGTCACGTGTCAAGTGAAAGGACAAATAGAAATGGCCTTAAGTTGCACCAGGGGGTGCTCACATTAGATATCAGAAAAATTCGTTCACTGAAAGGCTGGTCAGGCCTTGGAATAAAGTGCCCAGGGCGATGGCAAAATCACAGTCTCTGGAAGTGTTCAAGAGGAGTCCAGATGTGGCACTTGGAAATACAGTTTAGGAGTGATTATGGTAGTGCTAGGTTGACACTTGGACTAGACCATCTTGAAGGTTTCTTCCAACCTTGATAATTCTGTGATTCTCTACACAGACGTTTAATAGCTATTCTCTCACCCTGGCTATTTATCCTGTGTTAGACAAGTTGTAGGGCACAGCATTTGCATGAAAGCTTAAAAATACTTTTTAATAGAAATACTTATCACTTCATGAGAAGGCAAAGAGGTTTTGCATTTCAGATGCACTTGTTCTAAAGATGCCTTCTCCAAAATCAGAACTTACCCAAAGGAAAAGGTTGTTTGGTCTGTAGGTACTTTCCGAAATCCAGAAGGAACAGTAGTATTACTCCACTGTTATGTGTGTATGGAAGCACATAATTCCAGCTATCCCAGTCCCAAATACAATGTGACAACAGCCTCACTACCTAGATTTTCTGCTCTCTTGTTAAAGTGTGTATTTTCAATGGAAACATGTCCTGCGCTGAACTTCAAATGCACTTCCCTACCTTGCTGTGTATGTACCATACCGAGCCAAAAAAACTTACACTTATGCACCTAAACCAACTCACAGCTTCCCCACCCCACACACACCTTAATGTTCTATACATGTAGGAAAAGTTCTGGTGTTTTACTCAGCAATTTTTATTCTTCCATCTTAGCCACTTCCTGGTTATCTGCAGATCATCTAAGTATTTCTTATATAGATCAATGACAAGGGTCAGCTTGCTTTGTGAAAGCAAATTATTAATGTACATAGCTTTTAATCTATCTTTTAATTTTAACCTCAATTCCTTAGAGGAGCTCTATTGCATAAGAATCAGACAGCTTAGTGGTTTTGCACTTAGAAGTGCAAAAGATTCCTGCACCTTGTCTTGCAGATGTCCATGTGCATGTAGGTAAATCCCCATTCCCTATCAGGCAGATTGCTATTTAAAGAACTGATGCTAAAAACTGAGGTCTTGCACCTTTTGCAGGTCTGCAAACCTGTGGAAATTATGTCATGCTCCTTTCCCTTCCCTAGAAAGCACATATGGTTGGTCCTCAAATAAAATGAAAGCCTCTCCCCCTCCCCCACCAAAGGGAATTCTTAGCAAAGGCTGAAGAWACTATGTACAGAATTGTCAGCTTGCTAACTTTTTCCATTTGGGTTTTCTTTCTCATATACTTATGCATCCCAAATCAACTTTTATATTTTAAAGCAAGTCTTTAAGCTTAAACTCACAACACTAAATTAGGCAAAACCAGAAAACCTGTGTTCTCCTTTCTCAGCAGCACATTCACTCTTCTGCAGCTTTTTTCTATTTATTGTTTCAATGCTTTGGGACAAAGGGTGAAAAAAAGTCAAATGGACTGCTTCTTCCACACCAGACCATTCTACCCTAAATAAAGAACTTAGAGAGATGTAAAATTCTGATCCAAGTCAAAGAAAGTTCACAGCATATACGTAATGTTGAGAAGCCAGCTTCGATCAGTTTGTCATTTGTATGACACCTAGCAACAAGACTGCATGAGTTTTTCAGAGTTACAGCAGATAATCTGAGATCCACACATTTCTATTCACAAGACTGCAAYGACAAACTGTAAGCCTAAGCTTCTGTTTTTAAACTACAGCTGTGTCAGGCACTTTGGTTGTGCGTTAAAGGAAAAAACAACATTTAAATCTATCTCATAATGAGGTGACACTAACAAATTGAGTCTTTTTTTTTTCCGCCCTCCCGCCCTGGCCCTTTTTTTTCACCTTTTTCTTCTGTCACATGCTGTATGTACTGTTTAACATCTGCACACTTCAGCAGCAATGGGCAGCTAGGGTATTCTGAGTCTAGCACAACTTGATCAAGTGGCTGGAACTTTCCTTGCAGCTGAAAATATATCAAAGGGATTGCAAAAGCATTAGTAAAATGTTAAGACACATATACACACACTACACACACATATATAAATATATATGCATGCAATGGCCATAGTTTTAAAATAAAGGATTTAAAGAAGATCATATTTTGAACGGTAACACGACACATTCAGAAACCGATTACAAAGCAAGCTATAAATATTTATTTCAGACCAGTAAATATCTGCAAAATGCTGAACTCTTAAAACACTGCACTTAAAAGGCGAAATTTAAAACAACATGGGGAGAAACTAATGTGAAGTACAGCAGGATTTTTTGGAAGATGACATAAAACACGGTAGTCAGAGTGTGCCAATAGTGTTTTAGACCAAAACCTGCTGGATTAAACCCAGTGTCATAACTTCCATTCAAATTTTACTTTTCCTTCCACAAAGATAAATCTCAAAGGAACAGGGCAGCTTCTGGAACACAGTATTAACCTTTCACCTCTTCAAAGTCAATTCCAGTTTGGCCAGAGTAGGGATATAAAGTGATTTTGGCACAACTTAAATAGCCCCACACATGACAGAACCATCAAACAAATTTTGCCACTGCCAAACAATGCATAATCATTCAGCATGGTTTGGCACAACTGGCAACCTTCCCTTTGGAAAGATCCTTTAGCGCATCACTACAAAGACTCTGTGAGCTTCTCATGTTTAGAGAGTGCRTGGTCTCTGCAGCCAAGGCTGTACTCATTATAGCGGTCAGAATGAAAAAACGCACTTGGGTATACTGCTTTCACTATTAATTAATTCTCTTGCTAGACAGTCAGAGGCTTAATAAAAGTAACCACCTATTTGTTAAATCACAATAAAACCAAGAAAAATATCCCAAACAAACATACAAAAAGCAAAGCCAGAAAGTATTTAGAGGKTTTTTTCCTCCTTAAAAAGGAAAAGGCACAATAACAAAGACAAAAAGATTTATGAGACACAAAAATAAAGCTGGCATAAACTCTTCCTTATAGAAAACTTACCTGCTTGTGTCTCAAAGCAGGACAGCTACATTTACATCATGCATRGGCACAGAGCTTAAACCAAGAAAAGTGCTGTATAGCAGATGGCTCTGCTCAGAGACACACTAAGTAATCCTGCATCACACTATCAAAATCAAAGGACAGTGCAAAGGATGATCCTAAGATACCCAGTGACATCCATGCATTCAAGCTCGAAGCGATTGTGCTGCATTCAAGCTAACCTTGCAAAAAGACTTCCCTTTACTGTAGAATACACTAACTTCAGCAAGGCACTGCAGAAATGCATTTGCCTTTTTTTAGGAGCCAGAACAGCTCTGTGCATTTATCTGGCATCATGCCTGGCCTAGAAAATCAGAAAACCTGGAAAACAATGTACCACAAAAGCAAAGGGTAGCACAGGACTYGTTCCATGCACAGAAATAGCAGCAGTAATTGCCCTTCACTCAGGCTACCTCAACACCTCTCCACACAGAGAGAGGAGATTTACTGCTTCCCTAATTTAAATTTGGTATAAGGCTTTCAAAGGGATGATGAATTCAAAGAAAGCACAGTACCCAGGGAACAAGTTAAACTATTCCTTTTGAAATTACTCCTTCTGATGGATCATCCTGACCACAGAAATACAGATGTATTCATCTGCACACCCTATACCTTAAATAATTAAAAAATAATTACAGAACAATAAGTTAATACTACAAAGGTGCAGGAAGACTTTTTATCTTCACCACAAAGAAAGTTGTTCTCCTGCATTTGCCACTTGCACTCTAAAGCAGAAAATAGCAAGCAACCTTTTAAGGCATTCTTTTAGAGCAAAAACTCTTAGGATGCATAAAGGGAAACTATTGTCTCCACAAAACAAAACAAACCTACAAATAAACTTAACATTTCCATTTTATTTTGTACCCTTTCTTTCACAGGCTGTTTATAAAAAACAAATCAGTAAATTTGCCTATAACTTCTGATRTATTTCAGAAATTTAAGTGGGTTTTGCTACATCCATGATGAATCAGTGAAGCCATTTATTAATTATCCAACTTTTTGGTACTTTCCAATTGCTATTCTGTGATTTGGTATCAYTACAAATACTGCTTCTAAAAAGGAAATGTTTCCTTTCAAGTTCAAACTGCCACAGAAATGTTCCTCCTTCCTCTTCCATAGCATCCAAATTATTCTTTTCCCCTTCTTTCCCAAAATAACCATCTGCTGAAGTCTCAGAAAGGGCACTAGTTTGTTTTGATCTGRTGACATGTCAGCATTTTAAATTCAATAGTTCTGGGACAGGTTCTCACAAAAAGACAAAAGAGATTCTCTTCTTCTCTTAAAAAAGGAGGTGATTACAGCTTGTTGAGATTGAAAGCTGACTCTTGTAACATAATTTACCAACCATAAAAATTGATGCAAACAAAAATACTTCTCGGTATTAAGATAACTCTGCTTTAAATGCAAATTATATTTCCGTTATTATGGAAGCCACTCTTTGTAAATTAACGTAACTTTTGCAGAACTGAATGCACAAATAATGTTTCCTCCTGAGAATTCCAGAAAAAAAGTAAAGCAGGCTTACCTCCTTGTCTGCCTTTATGAGGTAGTAAAGTATCAGAAATAAGGGGTCCACTGGTGTAATGAACAGTAGGCGCCCATCTAGGTGACAGACATGCAAAAGTAAGCTTACATAATATATTGACTTTTTGGGGTTTAGGATGTTTTTTATGAGTGAGAAGAGCATTTTTTTTTTTAAGAATCCCAATATTTTAATAAAATGGACATGAAAATTGTATTTGTAACTTTACATTAAAAATACAGAGATAACTCAATTGTCTACCCTGCCAAACCAATGCACAAGCTCCACTTCAGGACTTCTGGCTTCATGTACTCTGCGATTTGCCTTTTTTCTGGACTGTATTAAAACCAGTAAAATTGAAGCTGCCCTCTGTTGGCAGATTTGAGGGCAACAGAAACTTGGTTTGGGATACCAGAGATTCAGCAATACTCCACCTCCAACAATGGGCAAGGCAACACTGCTGGCAGAGGAGATAAGMAGGAGAAAAGAGAATTTCAAGAGTTAGCTCAGTTACAGCTGCTTCTCATCTGTAAAGGCAGGGTCTGATACAGTCTCTTAACGAAACATAACAAACTTAGAGCAGAGAACGTGGCTCAGTATGTTGCATTCAAGGTTACACACAAAGGAAGAACATTGAAACAGCCACCTCTGTCCATCTGGAGTTCATTGCAGGACAATGGCTTAGTCAGGCTTTGTGTATAATTGTAGATAATTGGAAACAATGTAACATCAAGGAAATACACTAATGAGACCAAATAATTGATGACAATTTGACAGTAATTAGTAAACCAAAAGCAAATAAATGTCATCTTTTTGTTTTAAATCACATGATTAGGACAATTAAAGAAAAGCAAATCTGATTATGATGGCCCTAAAACTAACAAAAGATTGAGTGGGAAGAACGTGGTTTRGGCAAAGCTGATACCCAACCTAACATCTGTGTTACTAACATGATGCTCTGTGTGAGGCAAAGCAAGCACCAGGATTACTCACAAACAAAAAAACCTTTGATACTGAAACAGGAAGAAAAAAAGCCACTAGCCACTTTCTCAAAGCTTCTATTTAAATGCTTTCCACTCAACCTCCAGGAAGAGTTATTTTTGTTTGTTCTAAAGATTCAGACTCACTAGAGGTGTATAAAGACCTCCGCCTTTCTCTGCAGATAATTAGATAATTTGTTTTAACTGCAAACACAGAGCTTTTTTGTGTTGTTCTTCTCCTGACCATTTCAGAGATATAGCAGCCCTAGCATTCAGGAACAATTTTTCCACTGTATCTTTTAAAGAAAACTGAGGGCATGATTCCTTAAGGCAACTGTTTCCCAAGGGCCAAAATAAAGGTTAGAAAGGGAGAGAGAGAATACAATGTAGACATAATAGGGAGCAGGGAGCAGACCCAGTCTGTTGGCTCACCCCCAAGATGGAGTAAAGAAAAGCTCACAGACATACTGCTTGCACTGCTTTACGTGTCTGCAGAGGATGTTTAAAAGTTAGCACACACTTTGGGATATTACTGTTAAAGAAGGCATATGTCTGGAAGGTTTGCTTTTATTTATTACTATAACCGGACTTTCCTCTAATGAAAAGGAATAAAATAAATATACCTTAATCTCCTGAATTAATACTTATGGACATGCTGGTCTGTGGATATGCTGGCAGAGAAACACTGCTGCAATAACATCCTTACTAAAAAGGGATTGTGAAAACCRTCACAAGCAGTTACACAAGTCTCCCCCTCATTTTTAGAACAGCAAGCAGGATCAGAGAATGTCCAGGATGGTACAGACCAGCTCATTCAGACAGAACACTGAAAAGGCAGCTTCAGACAGAGGGCCTCTCCTGAGAGCCCAGCACTCAGGCTGGGGACTATAGAGGTAATTAAAAGAACGCATGACCATACATTCCAATGCTTGGAGCACTAACACACTGCTTTGCTCAGCTAGCTAAGGCCTTCCAGCCCTTTTTTTCCTTCCCATAGGACAGTACATATTAACTAACACAGAGGGCTTGCWGGTGTGATTGACAAGGAAAGATAAGCATTTTATAGCATTGCAGTGTAAATACAATTGAATTACTTACCCATCCTCCCTCCCTGAAAAAATTATAAATGAACACCTGTCTAATTGAGGCTGYCAAAGGCAACCTTTTAAAGAGAAATTACAAAGACTCTAGCCCTGGTTAAATCCATATGGCAAATGAGTCTCTCAGAAGGTGAGGATATGATGCAGCATGTCTCAAGCAACTAGGAAAAACACCTGCAAATTTACTAGAAGAGAGAGGGAAGGTCTATCTACAAACATTAGTTAAAGTTGGGGGAAAGATACATTGTGCAACTCACCTTGTTGAACAGTCTGACCTATAAACCAGGAACGATGCTCCTCGTGAAAAGCTTTTACTTCAAACAGCTGCTGTGCACCACTATTGAATAAGTAAAGGGTTGCTTCTCCTGTTGAAAAGAAATCTGGTTTGTGTTTGTAAGCTTTCACAAAAATCAAAAGAATACCCAGTATGTTTGAAGAATGTGCCTTATATACATACAGACACACAAACATACACAYATTCTACATAAACTCACTACAAAGAGAGCTCAAACAAAAAACACTATTATATACAGATGTTCATTTACCAGCTCTATAAACTAAACTGAATTTGAATCAATAAATAAGATGTGTGAATAATTCATCTTAAAACACAAAGCCTTTGATCCAAACCCAAATCAAAATCCTTCAAGAAATCAGCTTTTTTTCTGTAGTAAAGGGATAAAGTGGAAAACAAGAGAATTCCCTCTCCTTCTATCATGTTTGTCTTCAAGGTATCAGACTCTGGGTATGAGGAACAAAACTCTCAAACCTTTCATGGACTATTTGAAATAGATTTTATTTTTTTTGTGCACCAAAATGGATTGCAATGGCTCARTATGGTTAGATGTATAAAGTAAACAAGAAAGCTAGAAGAAGCTGGTTTGAAGTGCCCATCAGAACCTTAACAGTTTGGAAAAGAACAGGAAAGCTTTATTTTAGGTCRTCCCATAGCACAGGTCTACCATTTCACATTAGTTTTGGGTGACAAACACATTGCGAACAGGACTGGCATTTTCCATATGGGAAAATGGGAAGCTGTCAYAATTACAGAAGAGGCCTTCGAAATGCAATCAGCTGGGTCTCTTGGCTGAACTGCTTCTATCTTGGTTATCAAGCCCTCTACAAGRAAAAAGAGCAACTACAGCATGGTTGTCCTGCTTAAAACACAAGAACTGCAAAGCTGCACTGACTTGCAGACCATGGGCTGGCTCCAAAAAGGCTCAGTGTAAGCCCTGAAAGCTGACATCAGCACTGCTCTTCTCAGTCTGCAGACACCCCCAGGTGCGGAGGGCAGTCAGCTAAAATGGGCAGACACACAAATTCCCAAAAATGACTGACAATACATTTTTTCCCCCTTTATCCAAAGAGTGACCAGATGTTTAACCCCACTTAAGGATATAATTTCAGTTCTCTGATAATTTTTCTTTTGCATAGTGGAGGAGAGGAGCAATGAGTAGTTAGAAGGGGGAGCAAAAGTTTCAATCATTACCAYGTGCACCCTCAACAAGGGTCTACACCACAGGTTGATTGGCACCACATCAAACTACTCACAGAAGTGCTGACTGAACAAYTTCAGACTCCTACCAGTGAGCATGCTAGCCAAACTCAATGGTGAGCTGCAAAATCTTGGAAAAGGGACCCTTCTTTTTACCTAAGTATATGGTAATAATGGCTAAAAAGGACAGTCACCAGAGGATCCCCACAGTACTGTTAGGCAGAAACTCTAGGGGATGGAGAGAGAACTGGGCAGCTTTGCTCATAACATCACCAATGTTTCTTGTGTTACTTCCAAAWTGCAGTCTGATTCTACTTTATAGTCTTTGTAAGGGATAGAAATTTTGTCCTTTTACCTGTCTGTATAAAGGACGAAGCATGATTTTGTTTAATAAAGTGGTTAGCATGAATTCTAGAGTGAGCTGAATCCTTCAGTCCCTGTTTATACAATATTTGGCATCAACAATCCATCTGTTAGACCCAAACGTAAGGAAAATACATTGTGTGTTCTCAGTTCTTCAATTTTCAGACCTTGTATTTATAATAGGCTACATAACTGAAAGTTTATGCAGGCTTATAAATAAGGTCCTGTAAATTCTAAAGGAACACACCCAGGCAATCATTGCACTTCAGATTTTCCCCAGAAAACTTTCACAAGAGCTCTGATTCTACAAGGTAAACATATCTGTTTTTACACAGATAAAAACAAATGAACATCTATGTTTTTAAAAACATAACCAGAAAGTTAATATGCTACAGCAAGAAAAAATAACACAGGTGGAAAATAGACGTGGCTTTRAATTCCCACTGAAATCTGAGCAATCAGGAAACAGATAACATGATGAGTAAGTGATTTTATATTCTATATTACTATTTTGGACAATTTTCCTCTTTGAAGAACAAATATGGTTCCTATAGTGTAACACTAAAAYGTCACTAAAAAGATTTTAGTTACATACATACATGTAAATATATATAAATACAAGCAGTGAATTTCAGACCAAAAGCATAAAATTTTACAGAAAACAAACTAGCAGCTTAAGCAAAGAAAAAAAACTAGCATGAAACATGTTTTTCAAACAAAATGTTAACTCTGCAAAGGCTTACTGCAAGTTTCTGTTGCAGTATCTCATACGCCAATTATTAATCATAGAATAACAACAAATCCCTGACAAAAAGAACAACCTGACTAGAAGGAAGTAACTGTGGGGTGGTGGTCCCATTGTATCGCTTGCATTTGCTGGTTCTTTCAATATATTCTGAATTCAAAGAGCCTCATCCTCTATTAAGGAGAGAACAGACACCATGACCTGGACTATGAAAAAAAATTAGATCTAAAAATGAAAAGACTCAAAAAGCTTGGGTCACTTCTTCCAACTATATTTACTTTATATCATAAGATGAATGCAAAGAAGCCTAAATTTGGATTAAAAAAAAAGCCCAGACTCAACACCCAACACTAACGTACTTAAAAACAGAACTTAAATTACACCCCTTTTTTGTGCTGCCAATATTCCTTATGAATAAACAGTTAAACCAATTAAAATTATAGAAGAAATCMAAAATGTTTGCACAGCATTAACTGTCTGGCAAAACCAGCAGTATCTTTGGCACATAAGACTTGTACTATCATCATTATTCCAGCTTTGTGAAAAATGAATCTTTCAGTGGTGGAGAGAATCAACCAGAATTTGAACAGGCTCATGTCACAATTCCAGAACTTGCCTGTGCTCGGATTGCGCAGTTTTGTAAACAAGGGTTCGCTGTCAGGTGTCTTAGGGGGGTCAACAGCAGCCTCTGTAGGGGGAGAGGAAAAAGTTATGAAYTTGTAAATCGTGAGGTATTTCACATCTGCTTCTCCAAAACATTCAGAATTAACTGSATTGACACTTTTTGAAAACACAAACACACATCTCTACCTAAAAGTTACATGCCTGAACCCAAATTCATCCTACCTGATCAAGGCACTTAAATTATGATTCCAGACTTCCTGGCACTCTGTATCTGTCACAGGAAAGATATGCACCTGGGGACAATTTAGATTTTGAAAACCACTTCTCCCTAGAGAGCCTTCAGGCAACAGGGATCTTAAATTTGACATCCCAGTTAAGTAAGATGAACTGATATGCTGCCCTGATTAGTCACAAAGACAATGAGAATGCTTTGGTTAGTTAGGCCAAGCACAGTGTGGACATTAAAAAARTGCAAAAGGTAAAATACACATGGGAAGAAACTGAACCTTTGAAACTTTCAGGAAGTCAGATTATGCAGGAATTAGCTTATTCTAGTTGTTACTTGTGTGAAAAACATGCACACTTATTTATCTGTTATGTACAAACTTGAAAAATAAAGTGTATTTCATCCCACCAAGAAAAAGAACCTCAGGGAATACAGCACCTCTGGCTTAAGCTCCTTACACTTATTCTCTTTTCTGTATCTTTGAACAAACAGAAGACAAAAAGCAGAGCCATAAAAGTATTATCTTTCTGTGAAACTGAAAAAAAGAAGAAAACAGCTACCACAAGGATGCTGACTCAAGTACAAAAAAACCACACGTATAAATATCCCTAGTTAATTATATTCTATCCAAGTTCTCTTAGTAGGAAAAGTCTAACTTGTATTTATGAAAACAACTTCCACATCTCAGTAAAGAGCACCATGACAGCATCATCTTTCTTAGCCTGCACACTGCCAGTTCTGTCCCAATTCCTTTCATATAGGCAGTCATCAGAGAGAGGAAAATTACAAAAACATTTCACATATATCACCAGTATCCAGACCCCAGACAATGGACTGACAGGGACCAGGCTGATGTTTGCGTTATGGTGGTGGTCAGAAAAGCAGAGAGGAGCAGTAGAGGCAGACTGCGTGACTATTCAAAGGGACTTTGTCCTTCCCCTTTCAATGACATCCAGCAGGTTTGGGAAGAAGGGGCTGACACAGCTCTTTGGCAAATAGGGAAGTAGGAACACCAAAAGTAGCTGTCCTGCACCCTGACTGAAAGCCTCAAACGACCTAAAAAGGCCAAGTGGACTTCTCAGACATACATGGCTGTACACTGACATCTCAGGCAACAACAAAAAAAAACGCCTCAAATAACTCTCAACGTTCACATCCACTCCTTGTTATTCAACTGTGGCACCAACAGAAGTTACCCAGATAAAAACAGATGCAGGACACAAAAAGCAACTGTATTTACTGATAAAAATGTTGGAGGGTAATAGTTCTCAGAGTGGTTTGGAGAATTTAAAGTAATCTTCTCTTCAGTATTGAACTCAGTCTTCAGGTGGCTTGAAAAAGGGCTTGTAAAAGTTTCAGTATAAGCTGAGAGCTTTTAATGGAAAAAGTCCATATTTGCTAACCAGACTTGCTTCATATGCTGATACATAAAAACATGGTTGTCAAGCTACATTTGCCCTGGCAAAGGCGACCTTCCAATTTCTAGAGCCGTGTATATTCCAATTCTTGACCACAGTTTAACATAAGTGTATTTTTTGTTACTTTTTAAAACACTGAAGTGATTAATGATAGTGAAAGAAACACACTGCATGTGTTTACTTTGATGTGTTAGACATGAACATGTTAAAATATACATATTAAATGTGAGTTTCAAAATTTAAAACAAAAAGCAAAACAAAAAAACTCCCAAAGGAACTTTTAGCGCTCCCTTGCGCTGCTTTCTTCATACATAGATTGATGAACACTGGGAATGAGTCCAAGTGAGCCTGAAGTTGCATCTTGTGAACAATTAAGTCGACAATCTTTCCTAATTTACTGCTTTTAATGAAGTTCACATCTTTACTAGGTTGAGATATTCTCTTCTTAGCCTGCTACTAACATCCTGAATTTATCCATCTCTGGTAAGCCTGGGAGGTAAGGAGCACTCAGTGAAACAAACCCAAGGGAAACAATGTCCCATCTCTTCCTAAACAATTCTCTACCTTCCAACCCAGCTAACTGCCCTCCATGATCCAGGCCTGCCCCATGTTATCCCAGGCTCTGCACCCTGTCTGCCCCTCTGGCCCTGCCAGGAGCTCTTCCCTAGGTGAAAAGCAGCACAGCTCTGCCCACTGAGTTGTCTGGTACTCCTCAGGCTTCGAGGGGTTCACCATCGCACAGAAAACAGCAGGGATCAAACCCTAACAAATAGTCAGAGTTGCAGGCTTCTATCCCAGTATCTCATTCTGATGGGAACAGAGTGTATGTCACATTTTCCACACGGCTGCCACGGAAAATAGTGTGCCTGAAGGGACCTGCACATCAGTACACACACACAAAGAGAAGGGAAGGACTGGGCAAAGGCAAAAGCAGTTTCTCTGAGTTTCTTTAACATTCAATTTCCTCAAAATGTAGGCAATATTCCACTCCATTTCCAGGGGCATCTGAAGTATATTTTTGTTATAGATTGGCTTTACTATGTGTCAAGTTGGCAGACAAAAAAAAAAGAGGCAATTGGGAGAATGCCTGCTTGGAAAACTGGATGCAATATTAACATGGCCTTAAGGGCAAAGAAGGCCCTATTTATCTGAATTTAAATACTTCATGACTAGGAAAATGCTGAGCAAGGGATTTTTGATGTTAGGTGTCCAAACCTAACTTATTTGTGTTCTGGCCTTTAGCCAGGAAAGGTAACTGGATTTAATGCCATTACATTTATCAGCCCTTGTATTTCAGCAAGGATCTCTTACAGCTAAGTAAACACAGACTTCTTAAAAAGCAGTACTGTAGCCATTTTCTAGCAAAACTGAGAGTTAAACCAGTTTGGGGATTTTTTTTCAAGTTTAAGGTTCACATCCAGATAAGAAATTATCTTACAGAAAACAAACAGAAAAAAAAGTAACATTACAGGAAGAGCTTTCTTATTGAATTATAAAGGAAAATATCAGATGATCACCACTACGTTTATTATAACAATTCCCATAGCTCAGCCCTGAGAAACTTGCTCATCTACAAGAACACTAAGGGAAAGAGGTAAGATCTTTCTGAACAGTGCAATCTCTATCAACAGTGACATGTCGCCACGTCAGCTTACTAAAGCATCTTTACAACATGACTCTCCTAGGACAAAACACATTAGAATGACTTAAAAAAAATGAGAGCAGAGTACAGAGGGACTAAATAAATCCTGCCCTTGAGAGACATCCCAGCCACCAAGCCACTCTTTAAATTGCCTGGGAAGACAGGTGGCAGACCCTTCCAGGGGGCAGCTGAACTCACCTACAGCCTAATTCCACCTATTCCAGCCTAATTCCAATCCCTGCAACTGTATGGCTCTGTCTCCTTGGGATTACAGACATCTCTGTCACTGCACTGTGAATCCAGATGTAGTACCATCACCACTACACCAGAGGAAGACATTCTGAGGTAAGCACAATGCAGGAGAATTCCAACATTGAACGAGTAAGTCAGTCTCCTTTGCTCAAGTTACTGCCTAGTGTTTGTTTACTATTAATCAGATCACACAAAGTCCACCTAAAAATGTGTGTGATGTATTCATCAGTTAGAACCCTGAAACTGAGCAAAAGAGACTACAGAAGCTTAAATGAAGCTTTCCATTCAAAAAAGTGAAAATACTATTGTTTTTCATGGGGGTCAAACATACAACCRGGCAAATTCTATAAAATACATAAACAGAACAAAGAGAAAATGAACCAGCTTTCAAAGGACTTCTGGCAATAATTTCTTCACAATGGATGGGTATGAGGCACTAATGAATCTGGTCACTGAAAGTGTTAGCTGGTACAGCAACAKGAATATATTGAAAAACAAGATAAAACTCCCACTAAGTTCTATGAAACTCTTACAGATTATGTAGTCTACTCACCTTCTTTTTTTTWWAAAAAATGCTTATAAAATGTTAAATATAACAGACTAATATCAAGTTGTAGGGAATTCCCGTGCAAAAAGCTGCCAGCCAAGGAAGCAAAAAGGCTGTAAATATCTGTCAACTGAGTAAGAGGAAAAAACCCTCTGAGAGCACAAATTTCCCAACCACCACCACCCTGCAAAGAAAAAGGACTATTCAAGTCTGGAAATATAAAGTTAAGATTTCATTTAAAAACAGATATTAAACCATACGTCACCTACACAAGTCTTTTCCATTCCCTTCTTAACTTCTAACTGTGCATGAAAGGTGTGTCAGATGGAGACATTATGATGAAGCCCATTAAACAGACATTTTATGGAAGACTTTAAACTATGTGGCCTAAGGGTACAGATAGGTTAGATCTAATAAACATTTTGTGTTCCTTTTAGAATCTCAAGCCTGAAGAAAATGCCTTTAATTCAGTGCCCATGTCCTTTGTCATGCAACATGCCCTGGAAAAAGCCCAGTGAAAATTAATTAATAAGTCCAGTACTTTTTATCACCTGAATTTTTGGTAATTTTTCTAAGTTATAAGGTAATTAACCATAAGTATAATAAATTCAGGTATGCACAGATTGAGGATACCATTACATAAAAGGCTTCCAAATCACCAAAGAACAGAGGCCATTAAAAAGTGCAGTCCCGGGGTCCCCAACTCTCCTCCCTTCTTGTGCATTCTGCTCCTCTTTTCCACCAAAACTAGCAATCTCATAGCCCCACAGTAAGTTAGCTCGGTTTACTGTTCCACTGACCAACTGAGAAATAACCAGTCACAATGAAGAAGAAAATAATTTTCAACTCTATCAGCAAGCTTACTGAACAAGGGACAAAACCCATGGCAGAAGCAGACGGTATCTATACCATACAACCTACTCCATATGTGACACAGGTGTTTTTGACCAGTGTACACTAATTAGAAAACCAGATCATA